GTGTGGTGTGTCTGTGCCTTTGGATCCCTCCCAGACCCGCACCCCACCGTTGCAGCCCCACTGCACATCACCCCCATGTGCCCTCAGTCCCTCTGCCTCCACATGTCCCAGCCTGGCCCAGATCCCAGCCCCAAACAGCCCGTTTGGGCTGTGGCAAGCAGCCATCTGGTCCCACCAGCCCAGCACCAGCACTGACCTCAGCTTTACTTTAGGCAGCAGAGAGCTGCCTGCTCCTTCCGGGTTAGGAGGGAACACCCAGCAAGCACATTGCTTGGGCAAGCATAGGGCGGGACTGGGACTGTGGTCCCCATCTCCTCCCTAGTAGCTACATAATGCCTGGCTGCAGGAAGGGTGCTAGGCTGTGCCATGGGGACAGCATCCCACTGGAGAGTAGTGGTCCCTTTACACAGCAGCTGTCAGCAGTGGGTGGAGCCATGCCAAATACCACCTTTTGAAGCCTGCAGAAGGCATTGGGCTCCTTCCAGAGGAGAAGGGAGATGGAATGATGTCCAGGATGCAGAAGCAGAGGGGAACTCAAGATTAAAACTATTTATTCCATCCCTGGTGCAGTCTCATCTGTGCCAGCAGCGTTGTCCCAGTCCTTCTTGTGGTTCTGGAGAACCATCTGACGGAGCTGACCATGGTCCAGAGGCACCTCCACTGCCCAAGAAAACATCCACCCCATCACACACACCTTCTATACCTGCGGACAGGTATATATTCCTACTTCTATACCTGGTAGGGCGGGACAGGCTGGGTGGGATTAGCTGGGGAGGACGGGTGACAGTGGGACATAGGAATCATGGATTATCTGGCTGCATGGACGCAGCCCTTTCCTCCCACCTACAGCACTCACAGGCATCGATGGCGTTGTTGTTGGCGTTCAGGGTGGGAGGTGGTGGGCAGATCTGGGACCAGTTGATCTCCTGGAGGAGCTCAGGACTTCCCAGCAGTGGGTTGGTGAAGGGCAGGTCCAGAGAAGTGCCTTCAGTCAGTGTGTAGCGCAGGATGGACTCCAGCAGCAGGAGCTCATTGGTCTTCTTCTCCACAAGACCTGGGTGGGAAGAAACACCATCCTACAGGGCTTCTGTGGGCCCAAACCTACCACCAGATGTTTGCTGAGAAGGGGATCCATGGATTTCCCCATGGAAGTGCTGTCAGGCAGCTTGTCTCCCCAGGGACAAGGGTGGGTCCCACAACCAGAGATAAGATGAGGGCTGGGGGGTCTACTGGGATCATAGAATCATAGAATCAACTAGGTTGGAAAAGACCTTTAAGATGAAGTCCAACCTTTACCCCAGCACTGACAAGACCACCACTAAACCACATTACTAAGGGCCTCATCTACATGGTTTGTGAGCACTTCCAAGGACGGTCAGGTTAGCTCCTGAATTTGATGGGAATTTGGCATCACAAAATCACATTAGAGACAGCCATCCATGATGGGGCAGGGGGGGAAACCAGCTCAATTAAAACACAGTGCAAGCAGGTGGTGGACATACAAGATCCAGGCCGTGTGGCATGAGAAGATGGGCAGCTCTGACTCACCAAAATACTGCATCAGGTTCAAATCCGTGATCTCCCCTTTTTCTCCAAGCTGCTTCATTATGGCCGTAGTGTCGCAGTGGAGTCTTTTGATCAGGATTTCCATGCTGGATTTGAGCTGGCCCAGGATTTTGCTTCTCTCTTTGCACAGGTATTCGTAGAGGTTGGCTTCCTCAGTGGTTTCCGTTAGATTTTTCTATCAGCAAAGGTTTTGCAAGGTGTCACACCAGTTCCCTGCTCTCCCCCCAACCCCAGCCCCATCTACTCCCAGTCTGGACACCGGAGACTGCTCAGGAGAGGCTGTGGGATGCTCCCATCCCTTCAGGGGAAAGGCTCTGTGAAAGGGATCCTAAGCTCCCCATGCCAAAGACAAGGCTCTCGGGGGAGCAGGGTTGCCAGGAGCCCTCCAATCCCCCTCTCACCATGCACTGAGAGACAGGGCTGCCAAAGCCTACGCAGGGCCCTTTTCTGACATTAGCCAGAGTAGCATCGGCAGGAACAGACTCCCAAGCGGACGTGCCAAGACAGACCGGGATCTGCTGCCCTTGCAGAGGGAAATCCTGGCCACCATACCTCCACTTCCTTCACAAGATGAAAGTTCTTGGTCTCTGCATGCTTCCGAGCCTTCACCAGGGATGCAATTTCAATCTGTGTAAACACAAGCGCGCAAAGGGGATACTGCCTGAATGCCCACCAGATGTGCCTAACAGAGGCTGGGCACCACCCCTCCACCCTGGGAGCAGGGACATCCCACTTGAGCCCTCTGGGGATCACTGTCCCCAGTCCAGGAGGGCAGGTGATGTCCCTTCCTCTCACTCCAGCTATGGAGTGAGGCAAAGGCAGCTCTTGGCTTGCCGGCATGCTGCAGTGTTTTTGCTGGGTACACGGTGGCAGCATTGAGACACTTTTAGCTCCGAGAACACAGAGTTCCCTTTATCCGAGTTGTATTTTTAGCGATCTCTTTGCATTCCCCTAATCCCACCCCTGTGGCAGGCTGAGAGCAGGGCTCTGGTGCGGGCAGTGATAATGGACATATGAGAGAGGAAACACCCACTCCAGCCCAAACCCCACCAGCTGAGGGGCGACATGAAGAGCCTAGAACAGACCTGGAGTTCCTTGATCTTCCTCTGAATCTTCTGGATATCGTCATTGAGCTCAGAGGCATAGAGGAAGCAGGCGAAGATCTTATGCTCCTTCTCGACGAAGCTATTGAGCAGCTGGTCGACATTTCCATCCTCTGCCAGCTCCAGCAGGCGTTTGTAAGTCACCTCCCTGGTCTCAAAGCACTCCCCTCGGCTCTTCTTGGCCCTCTGGGCTGCTTTCAAGTCTGAGGGAGAGACAGAGATTGCAGGCTGTGTGTGTCCCTGCGAGGTGCCCTTTACAGAGCCTTCCCTTGCAGGTGCTGAGGGGTTCGGTGTGGTGCTCAGGGCAGGGTGGAGCAATGGCAGAGGGGGAGAAGGTGTCTTGATTTCCCACTGAAACTAAGCAGGGAAGTCACTGTCCTCACGGGAATGGGCCAAACACAGTGGGATCCCTCCCCAGGAGGATAAAAGGAGACATGGTTGCACACAGGGGCAGCCGCCCCACCCCTCCCTCTGCCCCAAGGGCACACACAGTGCTGGGTGGTTATCACTGTTCATCCTTTTCACTTGGAGGGTGAAAGTTGGGTGAAGGAGCCTTTGGAAAGGGGAGGGGTCCTGCCTTTGGGCTTCAGTGATATAAATCACTTTAAACAGCCCCCTTGCCAGCTCGGCAGGCTCCTGCTTGGCAGTCCCAGCTGCACATATTCTTTCTCCTCTGATACCGCTTTTCCTTTTGGCCTCTTCCTCCAGTTCAGAGCGATCCGTAAATCTGGCAAGCATGAAGGCTTTCCATTTGCTCTCCCGTGCAAGGATACGCTCCTGCTCCTGCATCTCCATGTGGTACTCGGCAGTGTCTGTCTTGTGCCTTTCCATCATGGCTGCAATCCTTGTCTGGGCCTCTGACCTGCACACAGAGAGCAGCAGCAGGTTACATCGTGTGTACCAGTCTCCCTGCGCTGATCAGACACCTAATCCTAGCACCCAGCTCTAGACAAGAGTGCTGAATCCTCTCTCTGAAGTTGAAATCTCTTTCTTTACGTCAACACTCATCACTGGCATCGCCTCTTAGTGCTGAGTTTGCCACACAGGGTTCTCAAGGCCACGTACAGCTGCTCATAGGCTTGTGTGGTTTGCTTAACAGCAGTGTTCATCCTTTTCTTCTGCTGCTCCAGCTTTGTATGGAGCTTGAAGTAGGAGTTGTCCAAAACAGCTTTCTGGATTTGCAGGCTTTCAATCTCTTCTTGAAGCTTGTTATTTTTGGCCAGGATGGTATTGAAATGGACATTGGCCTGGGAAGAGAGATGCAAAAAGCTTGAAGCTGGTATAGGACTCAGGTTTCTGTTGAAAGACCTTGACTAGACTTAGTACAAGCAGTCTAAGAGGTCTTAAGTGGGCCCTGCACTATCCTCCCCAAGACAGGGGAGGCAGCAGTAAGTCAGGCCAGTCACAACAGAGACCTGGAGCTGGCATTGTCCAAAGCAAGGTGGCTTCAGGCAGCTTGGTTTTATCACTACACAGGTGCAGACCTTCAGGCTTCTCAGCATGGCACAAGTGCTGCACGTGGGTCACAAAGTTTGAAGGAGCCTTTGAGATATTCTGGGAGCAATCAGGCCAGGACAACAGCCACGTCCTTTATGCAGGTAAGGTCAGCCAAATGCGTTTGCACCATTGCCCTTTGTCCTTCCTAAAAAGTGGGTTTCACACATGGTCTCCAAAGGTCTGCAACAGCTTTGCTTACATTGTACAGACACGTCTCCAGTGTGTCGATCTGCTTCTGCAGCTGTTTGCTACGGTTCGCTTGCTTCACCTTCCTTGCTATCAGGTTTTGCATCACAACCTTTTTTTCCAGCTCTTCTATCTGCAATACAGGTTAAAAATAATAATGATCATAATAAAAGGAAAGCTTAATCTCCACCCCTGTGCTCTGGACTCTTGTCAGGACACTTAGCCAAAGAAAATACCCTCTGTTGACTTGAACTACAGCAACCATGTCATTCATGAGCTCACAGTTATAGAAACAGCTTTAATCCCAAAGGATCCCGTGCTGCACATGCAGAAACATCAACTGTAACTAGGAATGGGTTTATTTTCATGTCATGAAGGAAATGTAGCTGCCTCTGGAGGGAAAGTCAGCAGGTGTGGGACAAGGCACAGCAGCACTCTGCGTCGAGTGGAAGAGGCAATGAGGATGGGGTTTTGGTAGTCGCATTGTGCTGGCCAGACAGGGATCTGTGCAGTCCTCCCTGGGACTGAGAGGAGAAAAACTTCTTCCAGAAGTGAGAAGCTGCCAGAGGAAATAAATCCAGGAGAAAAATAAAGCAGTTGGCGAACAACGAAGCAGGGAGCACGTGGGAGAGGTATGATTCAGCCAAGAGATCCCTGATTGAAAGCTAACCCTGGTGTGGAAAGCTCTGCAGCACCTATAGCAACCATAAACCATTTGAGCATGTTCCCTGATTTCTGTCAGGGGCAACTTGTTCAGAGCAGAAAGCAGCAAGGACCTGTCACTTCTGTAGCACTAGGTTTCCCTTGGCCTCAGAGCAAATCCAACCAGGCTGCCCAGAGGAGAAGTAATGGTACATCCTGCAGGTGCTGCTGCTCCTCTATTTGCCACGTCTCAGGCAGCACAACTAATGTTCCATTTTTGCCTCTTTTTCAGGAGGAAAAGTCAAGGGGAAAGCAAAGGGATGTTGCTTGACCCCAGGCAGGTGTGTGCCATCAAAGAGGAACTGCAGAGACTAGGACAGCAAGGTTGAGGGTCAGACCTTACTTTTCCAGCCAGCACTGCTGACTTGAACAGCTCTATCCATCTGTCATTGTCATGTGTCTTTTGCCAGGAGGCAGCATTATGTTCCAAGACCTGAACTAAATGCATTTTACATTGAAGCATTTCAGCTCCAGGGCTCACTCTGTGACTCTGCTCTGCTGTACCATGCTCAGCAGGAAACAGTCCAGATGTTCTTACCTGGCTGTCCAGGACAGCTAACGCTGCTTTTCTTTCTCTAATCAGACAATCATACTGATGTCTGATCTGCAAAAGGTATTGGGCCTCTTTGCGATTTCTGTCATCCAGCATCCTATTTTTCAGGGACATGATCTGGCCTCTTGTTAGTGACACCTTTCTCTGTTCTTGAGTCAGAGATTCTATTTCTTTTCTGTAAAAACAGAACCACAAATTACATTTAGCACATCCCATCTACAACACCACAGCAGGTCTTACACCCGCCCTCCATCTCAGCACCAGGGTCCCTAGATCTCAGCACAGAGGAGCTTTCCAAGCACAATGAAGCTGAGTGAAGCTGAACTCACTCCTGGGCCAGTATTCGCTGTTTCAGGTTGGTACTGTAAGACTTCCTCTTGTCCGCTGCTATTCGAAACTGTTTCTGCAGTCTGTTGATCTCGGACACAACCATCCTTTCTGACAGCTTCACAGGCTCATCTGAAAGGTCCTGCTTCGAGGAGTGTCCTTGCCTCTGTCACACAGAGAGAGTCTTTGGTCACTTGAGCAAATGCAACCAGCACTTGCTGGTAGACAGTGGAGCTGGACGCAGGGGAGTGGGTTAACAGCATCACCTCCAGCTCTGTGTCAGCACCAAAACCAGAGCCACATAAACCAATCCCGTAAGTGGGTCTGAGCCACTTCAGAGCAAACCCCCCCATGCTGGGGATGTGAACAAACCCAGCTTTGCCCAGGAGTGGAGCAGGAGTGCTCACATCCCCAGCTGTGGGAAGGTGACTTCTAGCTGAGAAACTGCCCAACAGGTAAGCACTGAAGCTGTGGCATTTAGATCCACCACTGCCTGTGTCCTCAGGTGTTATCTCCCGACCCTGCCTTCCCCAACACCCAAATATCAGGCCATGGACTCATCCCCAGCAGAATCAGAGCCAGCACAACCCAACACCTTGCTAGCAAAAGAAAGCCTGGCTCCCTCCCCACCGGCCACCCAGCTCACTGCACCGCAGCATTTCTTTCTGTAGGGAAGATCCCTAAGGCAGATCCAATTTAGCTTTGGTTTGTGCTTCAGTTTTTACCTTTGACTTCCTCATTTCTTCCAGCTAATTCTGCAGTCACACTGCAGGCACCTTGGGAAGGGGAAGATAGAGCCTCCACGGGGACAGGCCTGCTTTCCAAGGGGAGAAACAAAAGCTGGGTAAGGGGTTGGTTGTATGATCGTGTCCTTCGGGTGTTTTGGCACATAAGGAAACCATCACAGATGGCTGCACAATGAATAAAAGGAGAACATGTGTAGGGATGTCATCACGAAGCACGCTCCTCTTATCCAGTTGATAAGTAGGGGAAGAACAGATGGTTTGAGCTATTCCATCCCGTTCAGTACCTGGGTTTCCATAGAAATCTCAGTGAGGCCAGACCCCCTGTTCCAGCAGGCAGAGTCCCCTGGGAGCATGAGCAGGGACATTGCCTCGATGCAGCCCCCATCCCTCTGCAGCACTGGGGCCAACCCCTCAGCCCTCACCCCCAAAGCTGGCCCTCCCCCTAGCCCCACTGCAGCCATCCAGGCTCCCCTGTACCCCGCAATGCTGCTCACCCTGCTGCAGGATGCTGCAGTTCCTCTCCAGCCAGGGGGCAGGACCACGATGGCAGTCAGTTATTCCCCAAGAACAGCCCTATTTCCAGTGGGAAGCACAGGAGCAGTAAGAACCCATCAGAGGGCGGGTACCGCTCTGACCCCGGTTGCCATGACAGCAACATCACACCACAATGTGGAAGTGTTCTCCACGGGAACCATCACCAAGGAGGGTGGCCAGAGGAATGCTGGGAGCCCCCATTACATGGACCAAAGGGGTTTCCATGCCCCAAAACCAGCCCTGAAGCATGTGCTCTGATATCTCCCTGGCTGTGTGTCCACAGCAAGCAGAAACCCTCATTTTACTGGTTCTTGCTTCCCTTTGAATGTTTCAATCATCCCATAAGCTGGGACTTTGAAGCCTTTTGCTCTAACTGGAAAGCAGAACCCAGGGTTTTGCTGTCAAGAGCCAAAGAGTTACCATTCCCTTTGCTTCCTTGCAACCAGCTCCCTGGACTTCATACCTAGCTGCAATCTGTTTTGCTCATGGAAAAGCAGCAATCATGACATCACTGCCACTGCCTCAGCACCCGGACACCCTGGAGATGCCTGTCATTGGGAGAACAGGCACTGCCAACGTGGGGACAGAGACAGAACCAATATAGGGAACAAACTAAGGATTCATATCCGCTTCTCTCCTTTCCTTGCACAGGGGAGCTGTGGGCTGAATCACAAGAGCTATGATAATCCCTTCCTCATAAGCTGGAGCGTGTGCCCAGCTTCTTCCCAGGGAATTTTGTTGGCAAAAATCTGCAGAAGAGAAGAGGTGAGGAGCTGATGAGGGGCGCGTGGCAGGGCGGGGGTGTTGCAAAGCTGCAGCCAGCCCCAGAGGAACTCACCAGGCAAAAGAAATGGGCAGTGATTCGGAGAAAACTCCAGGAACAAACTTGCCAACAAAGTTTTCAAGCTGACAAGCAGGTATTCTTTATTGCGGCACCGGGAGACACGGGGGATAACTCCTCCTAACGTGTGTCCCCCTATTGCTATACAAGCCATCCCTATATAGTCCCTGGGCATACATACATATTCATGAGGCTACGTATGGATTACATCATTTTCCAGAGAGCTCCCCGCATGCGTAAAGAATTGTGGTGGTCTCTGAGGGTCGTTTACTTCTTCCAACAATCTTCATCACTTCTGGCAGCCTCTGAAGCACGCGCAGTAGATGCTCATACCAGTTTAATTGGTTCGTTAGCACCACAGACATAATAATCCTCCTACTTATCAGTTAGTTTAACTGTAGCCCATCCTGGACACCTGCCATTCCCAGATACTCCTCATCCCTGTGTCCTGCTCTTCTAGACTGTTTTTCTTAAAACTAGGAGAACTATAGTGATTTATCTTGTGAGAATTCTCAGTATGTTCTCTATCTGTACTCTATTTTTTTTCTCTATGTATCATGCACCTCAGTAATTTTTCATTGTTAGTGTTACAAAGCCATCAAACTTAACATTACTTAAAACTACTTATAAAGGTTTTTATATCCCATTTTGTGATTTTGTGCCCCTTTGTCTCAAATTCCCCCCTTTTTCTGTCCTTTTGCAAATTCTTTTGCAACATTTTATATATTACCATTACCATCAAAAGTCTTTTTGAAATAATTTCCCGTTTCTACCTGGTGCTTAGTTTCATTCAGTTTCCAATCTTCGTAATTTATCATAGACCGTTTACAACACCAGAGGGAACATTGTATCATGCCACAAGTAATCAATATTAAAATAATTAACACCAATATTCCTGCAACCAGTTGCCTCAACCAGGAGAGATTGGGTAACCATGAAGTTAACTTTTTCCATGTTTCCTCAAAACCCCAGGAGGTGTCATCCATGGCCATTTCATAAAATATATTAGTTTGTTTCCAAATTTCCTCCAGATCTGTTTCAATTCTGCCACTTTAGTCTGTATAGGAACAACAACTTTCATTGATTATGGAAGAAACCCCTCTTTGTGATGCCAGTAATGTGTCTAGAGCCATTCAGTTTTGTAATATCACCTTAGATAGGCTAGTTATCTCTTGTTGTTCTGCCTGGATTATATCGATGTTTTTACTTTCCATTTCCTCTATGGTTGCCGAGATATTTACAATTGCCTTCTCTAATTCACTTACTGCCAAAGGTGGAATTAGCCCTTTTACAAAACTATGAAATGAGTTGTGCTGTTCAATAATAGGGTTAAACCCTCACTTAATTCGTTTAGCAAAACTTCTAATCCAGGTCCCGGAAGGGTACCTGTTGATAATAGTACAAGCATTTTTTCCACATAACCAATACCATCCTTTCCCTTTAGGAATGGGCCATCACTGAACTATGATACCATCTATGTTAATTGTATGATTGCAATTTGAATGGTGACCTACATCTGTGGCATTTAAACAAGCATGATCTCCTACCTGGTTCCTGGTGTAATACATCTTTGTGCACAGGTGTCGTATTTATTACCTGGGTTAGGATTAACTATTTCAAATGTTAACCTTTCCTTCGAATACAGATTGCTAGCGTTCACCCACAAATTTGTCCATGAGACAGTGTTAGGAATTGGAACTCCAGTTAATGGGAGATCCAGGCTTTCTCCTGATTTAGGCAACTGTGCACGCACCCAACAGTCACTACGATTAAAACATTAGTAACATTCTGCACTAATTTCAGGTATAAATTCTGGTCCCAAGCTTGTGCGCCAGTTATCATATGAGTCCAAATTATGACCGACACAATTTCATACACAAGGGTCCTGAAGGTTCGATTCACCATGTCTTCTCTGGCTCTGGTGCTTTCTTTATTCTTGAATAATGTGCCCAAGCAGGTTGTTTCTTTATCTTCACTGCTGTAAAGGTGGTCAATAATATCTGGTACGGTCCGCTCCACTTCTCCTGTAGAGGATCTCCTGAAAAATTCTTAACATAAACCCAGTCTCCAGATCTGAAAGGGTGAATTGGATAATCCAAACCTCTGGCTCTTTTCCCTATTATCTCCTCCAATTGTTTTCCCAGATTGATCAGAAACTGTCGGAGATAGCCTTCTCCCACTTCCTGAAGACTTTCTCCTTTAAACTGGGACTGATACGGTCTTCCATACAAAATCTCAAATGGGCTAATCTCTTCTTTTGACCGGGGTCTAGTTCAAATTCTTAATAGAGCCAGTGGTAATGCCTGGTACCAATATAAATTCGTTTTCTGACATATTTTACTAATTTGTTGTTTAATCAGATGGTTCATCTTTTCTACTTGCCCACTGGCCTGAGGCCTGTATGGAACATGTAGTTGCCAATCAGTTTCTAATTTTTTGCTAATTTCTCGTAACAATTTTGCACTAAAGTGCGAGCCTCGGTCAGAAGAAATTGCCTCTGGTACCCCAAAATGAGCTTATTATCTTGTTAAATAATATTTTAATCACTTGTTTTGCATTATTTATTCTATAAGGGAATGCTTCTGGCCAGACTGAAAAAGTATCCATTAACACCTATAAATATCGATAACCCCCCCTTTTTTTTTTGGTAATTCAGAAAAATCTATTTGCCACTGCTGTCCAGATAACTTCCTCTCCCAATTGTTCCAGTTTGATTTCTATTTTCAGTCTTAGGATTATTCTTAAGACATAGCTGACATTGTTTTGTCACTAACTGAACTGTGGTGTATAGATTTGTTTGTCTAAATATTTATGCAAAGAGTTGCTACCCCAATGAGTTTTATTATGTTCTTCCTGAGCTAACATCCAGAGCTGGTTATAGGGGATTACAATTCGCCCACCAGGTATTTGAGCCCAACCCTCTATTTTCCTGTCCCTTTAGATCCTCAATCAATTTTCTATCCTCTTTTGAATATCTAGGTTTAGATTTTTCAATTGTTAGTTTGCCATCAGGGATTAAGGATATGATTTGAAATTGTTCAGCTGCTCATTTGGCTTCAAAATTGGCCAAATTATTTCCAATTTCTTGATCAGAGCCACCTTGTTGATGTCCTTTACAGTACATAACAGCTACTTCTTCAGGTAGCTGAACAGCTTCCAGTAATTGTAGAATTTCTGTAGCATGGTTAATCTGTTTCCCTTGTGTGTTCAAAGGTCCACATTCTTTCCAGATAGCACCATGGACATGGACCACACCAAATGCATATTTAGAATCAGTCCTAATATTTATCCTTTTATCTTTAGCCAGTTCCAGGGCTCTTATTAATGCTATTATTTTTGACTTCTGGGCAGAGGTGTTACCAGGTGAAGGTTTAGATTTTTTTTTTTTTTTTTTTTTCCTGTGAAGTGGTGGTAATGGCATATCCTGCCTTTCATTTACCATTTTTCATGAAGCTACTACCATCAGTAAACCAAGAATCAGCATCTTCCAGAGGTTTTTCTTTCAAGTCTGGTCGGCTCGAATATACAGTCTCTATGGTGGTCAAGCAGTCTTTTGTTAGTGGTTCTGTCGACTGTTCCTGCAAAAGGATGCTGGATTCACAACGTTAGTGACCACAATTTCTGTATCATCCTGTTCTACAGTGGTGGCCTGGTATTTAAAAAAACGTGAAGGAGATAACCTCCTTTCTGCTCCAGGACTACTGATACCACATGGGACACTAGTACAGTAATCTTTTGTCCCAAAGTAAATTTGCAAGCCTCTTTAATATTTGTGATAACTGCTGCCATAGCTTTTAGGCATCTGGGCCATCCTTTGCTCGCTTCATCCAGCTGTTTTGAAAAATACGCCACTGCCCTTCTGTAGGGTCCTAGTTTCTGAGCAAGGACCCCCAAAGCTATTCCTTGTTCTTCACAGGAATATAGCCAAAAGGATTTAGTCATATCCAGGAGTCACAGAGCTGCAGTTCTCATTAGCTCTGTCTTTAAATTTCTAGAAACCCCCTCTGCTGTATCAGTCCATTCTAAAGAGGGAGAGTTTCCTTTCAACAGTTCATACAGTGGTCTTACCAGAACACCATAATCATGGATCCAAAGTCTGCACCATCCAGTCTTTCCCAGGGATTTCCGGAGCTCCTTGATGGTCAATGGTCTTGGAGTCTGGCAAATGGCTTCTTTTCTAGCAGTTCCAAGTTGTCTCTGTCCTCCTGTTATTTCATATCCTAGTTAGGAAACTTGGGTTTGGGTTACTTGGGCCTTTTGTCTGGATACCCGATAACCATTCAGTCCCAGAAAATTTAACAATTCCACTGTCCACTTGATACATTCTTCCTTTGTTTCTGTAGCAGTTAACAGGTCATGCACATGTTGTAACAGAGTCCCGTTTGAGTAGGTGGCTTCCATGATTCTAGTTCTCATGCTAGGTGATTTCCAAAAATTGCGGGACTGGTTTTTTTTAACCCTTTAGGTAATACTGTCCAAGTTAATTGAATTTCCCTTCCTCTGTCAGGATTTTCCCATTTGAAAGCCAATAATTGTGGCTTTCTTTGGCCAATGCCAAGCAAAAGAAAGTGTCTTTTAAATCCAGGATGGCAAACCATTTCTGATTATTATTCAGTTTAGTCAATCGGTCATACGAATTAACTCCTACTGGACGAATATCCTCTGCAATTCTGTTGATTGCCCTGAGATCGTGAACCAATCTGCAACTTTTCTCATCATATTTCTTTACTGTCCAGATAGGAGTATTATATTCCGATTCACATTCAATTAATAATCTATATTTTAAAATTTATCAATTTTATTTTTATTGCCTTTGATCTTCTAATTTTAAGGGATACTGGTTTATTCTAATTGG